ATACCCATTTCATTCCCACACCTAATTCATATTTCATTGGGGTTCTTTGGTAGAATAGAAAAAACAATATCCCTAAAATATCATCTTCTTCAATCACTACAAACTACCTTCTCTCACAACAAACATTCCACCCTTCGTTATCTCCTCTTCAACGTTAGACTGTGAAGAAGAAGAAGTACTACATATGGGATGGATGAGTGAGCTCAAGTTTCTTCTTCTACCTATCTTTCACTCCAATCAACCAATTTGGAGTAATATTTTGACGGGGGTATATATTAGTGTTGTTTGAATTTATCTTTTAAGTTAGAAAATTGGAATTTTAAGGAATTTAGAACACTCTTTTTTTCTTTTTTCTAGTTTTCACTATGTAGTTTGAGTTTGTAGATGGGGTTTTTGGGTTCGGCGATCTTCGTGTATCGTCTTTTAAAAAATCATTTGTTTTCTTCCATTTGGAATTGGATGTTTTATGGTGGAGGTTTGGGAATTTCAGATTTTGCACTAATAATACAGCAAAAGGAAAAAGGCTAGAAATCGACCAACTTCATCTTCGCAATCAATAGAATACAACAATAAACAATAAAAACAAAAACAGAATTTAGGAAGTAGAATCAACTAAAAACATACATACCTGATCCAAGAATTAGGATTAGGGTTTGGGAGAAGCAGCGAATTTGGGGAAGGATTATCAAAACCAGAAAACCCTAAAAATCGTCGGAAAAGTCAAGGCGCGCTCTTCTCTTCGTCGTCTGCGGAAGGGCGGGCGTGCGTACGGACGGAGTGTTATTTGGGGGGAGACCCAACAAAACTGTAGAAGAAAGATCTAGACACACATAGACAGGCAATAGATAGATAGATAGACGATGATGATGAGATTTTGATATATAAATATATAAATAAATAAATATGCAATATTAAAAATGAAGAAAACAGTTAAAAAACTTTTTTTTTGTAAACATTACAACATACTTTCTGTTCTGGTAAATTAATTATAAACCTGGGAGAGTATGATTGAGATACACGCGCATTACACAACCGTCAAGATTATTATAGGCACACGTGTCATGAGTTAAAAGCGAGTGATGGTTTTTCTTGTGGACGATATTGAGATGAAAGGGATATAATGGTAGTCGGGTCCACGGAAATATTTGGAGTGGATCATATATATATATTAATTAATTTGTTTTTGGGTTTTTTTTGGAGTAATTTAGAAAAACGGTGCCGTTTACTTTAGTTGAATCTTATAGGGGTCTGTGGCTTGGGGCCTTTTTTTTCTAAATTCTAACGTAGGTGGAAACCCTAGCTAGTTAGCACCTTCTCCTCTCCTCTCCTCTCTTCTTCCGGCGGCGATTCCATCCATCGCAGAGATCACAGGTGCTTATATTTTTTTGGATTTCACTTCGATTCAATTTTCGTCTTCTTCGCTTTCGTTTCCGGTTGTTCTTCGGAATTAACTGCTATTATTATTTACGATCTGCTTTTTGGTTTCTCTTACTCAATTGTTTTACGATCTGTTATTGGGTTTTCTTGTTCTGGGAAAATATGGGGGGGTTGTATTTTGTTTACTGCTATGAAGATGTGTTATACAATAGGGGAGAGATCGTCCTACCCCCTCCTATCCCAACGTTCAAACTCGAGATCTCCAACTTGGAGTTTAGAGCTCTTAATCAGTTTAGGCAATACTAATGGTTAGTGGGGGAAGGAAGGAGGTTTCCAATGTAAACAAAGTTAACACAAAGGCAAATCTATTTCTTTTTTATTTATTATTTATATTTTTTTTATTTTTATGTCCAAGTAACAAGTTTGATTTGGACTGATATGTTTTCTGGTCTTTATGTGTTAATAATTCGTCAGTGTTTCTATATCGTATGGGATGGATTCAGTTTACTGTTGGTACCTTAGACTACTAATTGTAAGCAGTTAAGAATGGGAACATTGATTCAATGAGGAACTTCAGAATTCACAAGTCTATATATTCCTAATAAACATCATCTACATGCGTTCATCATGTTTCATAATTTTAATCATATTTTTTTGTTTGTCAACAATACATGCATTTTAGTATCTCATGGCATGTCCTAATGGTAAGCAGGTAAAGATGCAAACTTTGATTAAATGAGGCTTTCAAATCTTATCTTTTTCTTTTGGTAATTGGACCCGTTTTGCTTCATATAATTGAACAATTCATCTATGCCATGTGCTCCCTTTATGCTTATTGAATTTATTTTTTCCTATCAGATCCTGCAATTATGGCTGATGGTCATGAGACGGATAAAAACATTGAGATATGGAAGATAAAGAAACTAATCAAGGCATTGGAATCTGCAAGAGGTAATGGCACTAGCATGATATCCCTTATAATGCCTCCTCGTGATCAAATATCTCGCGTCACAAAGATGCTTGGTGATGAATTTGGTACTGCCTCAAATATCAAGAGCAGAGTCAATCGCCAGTCTGTGTTGGCTGCCATTACTTCTGCCCAACAGAGGCTGAAACTCTATAATAAGGTCCCCCCTAATGGCCTGGTTCTCTACACTGGCACAATTGTTACTGAAGATGGCAAGGAAAAGAAGGTCACAATTGACTTTGAACCTTTCAAGCCCATAAATGCATCACTCTACCTCTGTGATAATAAGTTTCACACTGAAGCTTTGAATGAACTGCTAGAATCTGATGACAAATTTGGTTTTATAGTCATGGATGGTAATGGCACTCTATTTGGCACTTTAAGTGGAAACACACGGGAGGTACTTCATAAATTTACTGTGGATCTACCAAAAAAGCATGGAAGAGGAGGACAGTCAGCACTCCGGTTTGCTCGTCTGCGGATGGAAAAACGACACAACTATGTGAGGAAGACTGCAGAGCTTGCTACTCAGTTCTTCATTAATCCTGCTACTAGTCAGCCAAATGTGGCAGGGCTAATACTAGCTGGTTCTGCAGACTTCAAGACTGAGTTGAGCCAGTCAGATATGTTTGATCCTCGTTTACAAGCTAAGATTTTGAACGTTGTGGATGTTTCATATGGGGGAGAAAATGGTTTCAATCAAGCCATTGAGCTATCAGCAGAAATCCTGTCAAATGTTAAGTTCATACAAGAAAAGCGCTTGATTGGCAAATACTTTGAGGAGATTAGCCAAGATACTGGAAAATATGTCTTTGGTGTTGATGACACATTGAAGGCTCTGGAAATGGGTGCTGTAGAAACCCTTATTGTGTGGGAAAATCTTGATATCAATAGGTATGTGCTGAAAAATACTGCCACTGGTGAAATTGTCATAAAGCATTTGAACAAGGATCAGGAGGCTGATCAGAGCAACTTCCGTGATCCTGCCACTTCTGCTGAGTTGGAAGCTCAAGATAAAACACCATTGCTTGAGTGGTTTGCCAATGAGTACAAGCGCTTTGGTTGCTCGCTTGAGTTTGTCACTAACAAATCGCAAGAGGGATCACAGTTTTGCAGAGGGTTTGGAGGAATTGGAGGTATACTCCGTTACCAGCTCGACATAAGATCATTTGACGAGTTGTCTGATGATGGAGAAGTTTATGAGGATTCTGATTAGGAAGCTCGCTCAACTCTGGTCCAGGTGGAAGGTGTGAACGTCTGTATTCTGGGTTTTCAGTCTTTGTTGTTACTGCTGCCTTAAAGTCGAAAAATAATTTAAGATGCTATTGTTTTGGATTTTGCCTATTTAGATGGTTATACATTGGTTGTGAGATGTCAAGTCAGGATCTTTGTTCTGCGCTTGCTTTCCCATCTCTTTATGCCTCTTGCATTTGAATCCTCTATAACTCTATTGAAGTGATTGAGTTCCTAGCTTCTTGAATTAATCATAAGTGGGAAAAGTTTTGATTGCACTCATATTATTGTGTTGTGTCGTGTCATGTTAGCCTTTTACTTAACAAAAATTTTGTTTTTGCCTCGTCATTGATAGTTATTTTTTTGCATGGAATATTTTTATCCCCACATAAGATTGTGAGACCTGCCATTGCTTGACCTTTAGGTAATTTACTATCAAAGGACAACATGACTGGTGACCAAAGACCGAACTATTCTTTCGCCTTGTACTAAAAAACAAATATAATTGTGAAGAGTGGAAAAAAGGGTCAATTTACAACCTATTACGGTTAGTCTTTGTTACTTATAATATGTTTATGACCCTACCGATTGCCATCATTGGAGTTAACCTAATTCACCCATTTGCTAAGACTATTTGTTAGTTTTAATTAATTTTTATTTTATTTTTATTTAGCCGTTTATTAATAAATTATATAATAAGTCACAATCCATTTCTTCACAAACTACTTTTCTTCTTATCTTTAAAACTTAAATTTTTAATCACTAAAAAAAATAAAATTTTACATTTTAATTTATTCATATCTTTTCAACTTTATGCATTTAAAAAAAATAAAATAAAATAACCGCTCGTACAAGCGGTTGGTCAACCTAATTTTAATCAACTAAAGGCAACAATGGTACGACATAATCTTTTTTTTAAGGAATGACAATGATGGTGTTGATGATTAAATAAGCCAAATTATTATAAGCAAACAATGGAGCTTACAGCATCAACTTTCATTCTTTTCTAGTACACTAGAACAAGGTAATAGCTGGTTTAACACATCTGAATCTGACATATATTGCCCTTGTAAGAAAAGGATAAAGAAAAACAAGTGCTTTGCACTATGTACAATTTTCAATCAAAATTGGATTGGAGGGGTGCGCCTTTTTTTTAATAGTTATATTTCAATGGCACAGAATGAGTTTTGTTTTTTATTCTAATAGAATCAAATTTGAAAAGATACTAAACATTAAGATAAATAACATAAGATAAATAAGCAGAAAATCGAAAGGAAGGAGAAATGAGTAGAACAAAAAGTTTAAAAAAAAAATAAAATTACTAATTCAAATAAATACAGGGTCTTCTTCCTTCGTCTTACTGGTCTTTGACACAGAAAAGGCATTTTCCTTTTCTTGTGTCGAAATAAGAATAGTTCTTCATCCTATTGTTCAAAGATTCCCATTTCGGATGACCTGCTAAGGACAAGTTCTATGAAGTTTTAGCAATCAGCTAGTTCAATAAGCTGATGGACAACAGTTGGATCTGCAAGTGTGCTTGTGTCACCCAGCTCATCTAACTGCCTGGAAGCAATTTTCCTCAGAATCCTCCTCATTATCTTTCCACTCCTAGTTTTTGGAAGACCAGGTGCCCAATGTATTTTGTCTGGTGCTGCAAATGCTCCTATCTGGAGAAGATGCACCAAGTTAATCAAGTTAAACCTTCACACTCAAAAACTGGATCATATTGTAGAACATGGAAGCCTACTAAACCAGAAAATTTGTTACTACTACCATAAAGGGAAAATAAACTTAATTGTAAGCCTCAGAAGCTGATCCTCAGGAACCCATGAAGCTAAGTCAGATGCTGAAGGATTGGGAACTAAGGAGCAAAAACTTCAAATTTTATTTCAAGAAGTGAAAGCATTACAAATTAAATACCACAAGAGACAGGATAATTCTAAGAACCAAAGAGTTAAAGCTCTTAGTGAAATCGTTTACAGGTGACAGAGAAATCATGTTTCTAATGAAGAGAAGTCAATAAGACATGCATATCATAAACAATCTTCCGTGCAAAACAAGTTTTTAAAATGCAGGAACAATGACAAATACATGCGTTAATTAGTGTTCAAGTGAAGAATAAGGTGAATGAAAAATGAGCGGAGATAACCCAAGGAAATTAAACTTCATATACAATATAAATAAACCTTATAAATGAAAACATTAATATAATGAAAATGTGACTTTAAAATAAAACTGCTGAGCAATCACTGAAAAAATTGATTGTCTAATTAAATGCTTCAAGTTTACGATCTCCAAAAAGTGTTGCCAGATACCCCTGATCAGAGTTGTTTATCAATGATTCATTGTCATGCTTCCAGATCAATGATTTCCAACAAGATATCTGCATTGTATTAGAGGATATTTTTTTTTTTTTTAATTTTAAAAAGAGTTCAGTCACTAGATTTGATTCACACCTGTTTTTGCACTGTTAGTATAAGACTTCTCCGGAGTTCTTCACTATAGGGAACACCCTCCACAAGAGTGACAAAGGCATATATTCATTGTCCTTTGACCTTATAGCACAAGAAAATGAAAGCTTAGGTATACTTACAATATGTTACGTGTGTGATTGAGTGTTTGCGCTGGTCATAAGTAAATTCTGTGTTTTAAGCATGTTTATGTGTAAAAAAGATGAGGATTGAGGGTACTACCTCATGCTCAATACCAACTACAGCAGCTTCTGTGCATTGGGGATGAGAAACTAGAGCAGATTCCACCTCTGCTGTTCCAATACGATATCCACTGCAAACAGTGAAAATGCAAGAATTAGCTGTAAATGAGAAATTAATGGATATTTTTCCCCAAATAAGAATGAGTGATTCATTGGGGAAAAAAATAATGAGTCATCCATTGGCCAGAAAAAAGAATGAGTCATTCATTGACCAATAAAAAAAATAGAATGTCATTCACAGAGACAGGGAGAATAAGTTAATTATTGAATAGGTCAATTCAGGTATAATTGATCTTCATCAAGTCAGAACATGGATACCTAACATTGATAACATCATCCACTCTTCCAGTGAGCCAGTGGTAGCCATCCTTGTCCCTGAAATAAAGACGTGAGATGGTCAAACTTGGTGCCATGAACTAAAAACCCAGACTAGTACATTAAACCCTAATTTATTTTCACATATAAAATTGCAGAGTCATAAAATACATTTATCACTTTTAGGACTAACACATAC